GATCTTCCACCGCCGGTTACGGTAAGGGAGCCGGCGCCGGAACTGCGCCTCCCCCTTCCACTTCCGTTGATTCTTCTTCCTTATCATCGAATCGCAGGTATTCAAAATCAATTCGGTGGTTTTCAATTTTCAGAGGTTTCGAGGATTCAATTTGCAAAATTTTGACGGTTTTTTTTGTTGTTTTGGTTTTGGGTATTTATGGCAGTTTTAAGAAGCCTGGTAATGCTCAAGGAGGGCAGTCTAGGGTGAATCTACCACCTGTGAATCATTCAGTTTCTAAGGATGGTTTGCATCACAACAATCATAATGGTCCCAATGTACAGTCTCGGTCTCAAGGTATGATCTTTTGATAACGGAGAGGTTTTTTTTCATCACTGCCCTTTTGCTCACAATCTTTAGTTTTTGATAATTTTGAGTTGGTGTGTGATCGTTTTCGCTTTAGCTCACCTTTTGTTAGTTACAGGACCGTCTAGTGAACCGGTTATTGGTGGAACCACCGGAGCTGTACCAAAGGCTCCAACTTCTCAGTCTCCTGCCATGAGTTCCAAGGGTAATGAGACTGCAAACACAGCTAATAAAGGTAGGTTTGTTTGTTTGCGTATTCTAATTTTGTGTGTGGAGAGTGTGACTAAATACTTCTGTATATCTATAAATGTATAAGATTTACATAATTGTTTTCCGTGGCAGGCCCTGGAGATCCTTCTAAAGCATTTGCTTTTCAATTTGGGTCACTTGGTCCTGACCTAATGAAGGTATGCTTGCTGTTGTTCCTTCCTTTTGTTTGTTTGATTTGTCCATCAACACCTGAATCATCTACCCTGTTGGTTTTTTAGATTCCTGCTCGAACTAGCTCAGCACCTCCGAATATGGATGAACAGAAACGTGCACAGGTCCACTTTTTAGTATTTTGCATCTGCCATTAATGGGATTGTTGCCTACATGAATGATGCATGGTTATATGACGATGAATAACTAGTCTATGTTTTCAACTTTGCTTTTGACGGTGATTTTTCTTGTATTGGGATGGCTTTTGCTGGGCTCATGCTCCCTGCTCTTTAGTTTGAGTTGGAATAAATTATTTTGATGACTTATTTCACACTGTGCTGTGCTGAACTTTTTCTTTCGTTTATGACACAATCACTCATTGTTTGCAGATGCAGCAAGCTTCTTTAAGAACGGCGCCAAATTTGCCAGCTTCTATACCTAAAAAAGATTTACCAAATAAGGCTGCAGATAATCAGTTGATGAGGAAAGAGGGGCACAATCCATCAAGTGAAAAAGCAGACGTCCAAGTTCCACATATACTCCCTCCAAGTCAAACGCAGAAGTCTCCAATTACAAATATCCGTATGCCTTCTGTGCAGACACCATATCAGCATTCTCAGGTTCCTCACCCTGTACATTTTGGTGGCCCGACTATGCATATGCAACCTCCCAACGTGAATGCAACATCGTTTCAGATGCCAATGCCTATGGCATTATCTATGGGAAATACACCTCAAATCCAGCAGCAGGTGTTTTTTCCAGGTCTTCCATCACATCCGATGCATCATCAAGGTATGATGCATCAGGCACAGGGACATGGTTTTGCAACTCCGATGGGTGGTCAAATTCATCCTCAGCTAGGCCATGTGGGTGTGGGTTTGAGCCCACAGTATCCCCAGCAGCAAGGAGGAAAATTTGGCGGGGCACGTAGGACCACACCTGTAAAGATTACACATCCTGATACTCATGAAGAGCTGAGGCTTGATCGACGTGGTGACCCGCATCCAGATGGCGATCCAGTGGCTTCAAAACTGCATTCTAACACACCTCCCAGATCACAGCCAGTTTCATCATTTGCTCCACGACCAGTTAATTTGGTGCAGGCCTCATATAACTCCAATCCTATGATATACCCTCCAGTATCTGTATCCTTAAACAGTGGCCCAATGTCATCCACTCAGGCACCAAGATATCAATTCCCAGTTATTGATGGGTCTCAGAGGGTACAATTTATCAACCAATCTGCTCATACCGCTCCACAGCATATCAGACCCGCAGCTCCCACACATGTTTCATCTGACTCTTCTTCCTCTGTGAAAGCCCGCGACGCCCAAAACGTGACGTCATCTACTCTACCTGCAACAGCAAAGGTAACAGTGAAGCTAGCTGCTGCTCCTGAAAAGCTTGGATCACCTAAAGCCAGGACACATGGAGAAGCTAATACTTCACTGTCAAAAAGGGACGTAGAGGCAGGTTCTTTGAGCTCCTCACAGCAGCCGAAACCTGGCTTTGTCTCCAAGGTAGCAAATTCGTCTGCTCCGCCTGAGAAGTCATCTGTGGAGACTGCTCCAGTTGCAACTACTGAAATCGGAAGAGGGGAAATGGTGAATGATTTGAATTCAGTTGAAGATCAGAAACGGACTTCTAAGGTGGAACCCTCACATATTGTGACTGAGGTATGGTACTGTGCTTTGTTTTTAGGTATTCTGCATTAATTATTTTCTATTACCTGGTAATATAACCTTTTTTTTTGGCCCTGCTTCACTTAGGATCATGGACAGACTATGCCAGACCCTCTTGATTCTGATCTTGGTTCTCCTTCCAGCTGTTCTGCCCCCGAAACGGAAATTATGGCTGCTAAGGAAAATTTATCACTTCCAGCTACCAATGGGTTTAGGAAGCAACTGATGGAGGTATCTCCTACGTCTGATGCTCCAACGTCAGATACAAATATTGATAAACCTGCGGAAGAATCAAGCCATGCCTCATCAGAGGTTTCCGGTTCTTCACCGCAAGAGAAAGACCTAAAATGTGATGAGCCGACTGTTTCTGACAAGAATGTTGAAAGGTCTGTAATTTCTGATGAAAAACACGAAACAATATCTGGTGTGCTTGGGAAGGCACAGAATAAGGTGGATGGGGTCACAGACATCAGTCCTGACTCTGAAAAATTAGCTGGAGTTACGGATGATACGAGCTCCGAACTTCCACATTCTACTCATACTCAGTCTTCTGCTGTTCCTCTTGGACATTCTGAGACACTGTCGAGACATCAGGGTGTAGAAAATTCTGGTGATAGTTTGACATCTGCCCCAGCTACTCTCTCCAAGGATAAATCTGCATATGAATCGAACACAAGAAGAAATACTTCTACCAAAGGAAAGAAGAAGATAAAAGAAATTCTTCAAAAAGCAGATGCTGCGGGGACAACTTCTGATCTCTATATGGCTTACAAAGGGCCTGAAGAAAAGAAAGAGATAGCAATGCCTTCTGATAGCTCAAATGTTATTCCTGTTGTTTCAAATGAGAAGCTGGCACCTGCCATACCTCAGGCTGTCGCTGAAGCCACTGTGGATGCTGAACCAATGAAAAATGAACCCGAAGACTGGGAAGATGCAGCCGATGTTTCTACACCAAAGCTGGAAACTGTAGATTATCATGTGCATGCAAAGAGAGGTTCTTCAGATGAGGTCAGAGACAGCGGCAGCAATACAGAAAAGAAGTACTCACGGGATTTCCTTCTTAAGTTTGCAGAACTGTTTACTGCTCTCCCTGAGGGCTTCGACCTTCCACCTGATATTGCTAGTGCCTTGATTTTTGCTAATATGGGTGCACATCAAGAACATGATTCGTATCCTAACCCTGGAAAGGTTATGGATCGTCAAGGGAGTGGTGCTCGATTAGATCGCCGTCCCAGCAATGTGGTTGTTGACGATAGATGGATGAAGAATCATGGTCCTGTTCCTGCAGGATATGGAGGTAATGTAGGTTTCCGACCTGGTCAAGGAGGAAACTCAGGAGTTCTAAGAAACCCTCGTATGCAGCAGGGCCCGATTATGTCTAGACCGATGCAACCTGTAGGTCCTATGGGAGGAATGGGCAGAAATAGCCCCGACTTAGAAAGGTGGCAACGCGGTTCAAATTTCCAACAAAAAGGACTTTTTCCTTCTCCGCATACTCCTATGCAGGTGATGCACAAAGCTGAGAGAAAGTACCAAGTGGGTACAGTTGCAGATGAAGAACAAGCAAAACAAAGGCAGTTAAAGGGCATCTTGAACAAGTTGACCCCGCAAAACTTTGAGAAATTGTTTGAGCAAGTTAAAAGTGTCAACATTGACAACGCTGTTACACTTACTGGTGTCATCTCACAGATATTTGACAAAGCCTTAATGGAGCCTACCTTCTGTGAGATGTATGCAGATTTCTGTTTACATCTGTCTACGGCATTACCTGATTTTAATGAGAATGGTGAAAAGTTTACCTTCAAAAGATTGCTTCTCAATAAATGTCAGGAAGAATTTGAGAGAGGGGAGA